CCATCGCTATTTGGGTTGGAGGCCATCGCTAGTAGGTTGGAGGCCATCGCTAGTAGGTGGGAGGCCATCGCTAGTAGGTTGGAGGCCATCGCTATTTGGGTTGGAGGCCATCGCTATAGAGGAAATGATACCTTTCTCGCGTGAGACACATTCCATGACTCCATCAACCTCGCCGCTCTGGCTCCGCTGCTCCGCTGCTCCGCGGCCGCGTCACATGGAACATCTCAGCCCAGTAGGCTGAAGCGCTTCCGCTTGGGCGTCTCGGGCCACCTCAGGCGGCTTCGACCTTCGAACAATGGGGTCCCCATGGAGGAATAACTGCAGAAGCGACCCTAGGAGATGACCTCAAGCCATGGAGGAACTCAAGATCATTCAAGATCAAATGACCTCATGTCGCACCTCACACTCCCTGAAATCATCGATGGTTTCTAGGAAAAGTCAGCCCATCTAAGGCAGATTCGACCGCTTTCATACCGAAACCATCCGAAAGAGGTGCTTTCTTGATCCACTTGAGCCGGGAGCGTACCTTCGTTGGAGTGTACCTTCGTTCTTTGGGAAGTTGGAGCCCCCAGAAGACGCGAGTTGGGTGTCGCGGATGGTAGCAGCTACACATCGCCCTGGTTGAACGGTCCTGGAACTCGAACTATTAAGTCCAGCTCCGTTCGTAGCGAACCTTGTTCCGTTCGGTTCGCGATGCTAGTAGTTGCCCCAGTTCGTAGCGAACATTGTTCTAGTCTAGTAGCGTCCTTGCTCCTACCCCCCCCAGATCCAGTTCCTAGAAGTCTCTGACCTTTCAGCTTTGTTGCCAGCTCTCTACATGGGTGGGTAGTTATAGATTTGCACTACCACAACGAAAAGCTGAGGGGATGGTCCAAATAAGTCCAGACTCGCACTGGGAGGTGCTTCGTGGAGGTCGATCAAAAGGGAAGTGGTGTCCAGTCTCCTTGCTAGCTCGGTTGGAGGCCATAGGAACAAGGACGCTACGTTCGGGGCTCCTGGCCGTACTACTAGGAGCGTTCGGACGCTACGAAGGTAGCAGGGCCACCGCTCGCCATCGCTCTTAGGTTGGAGGCAATATCGTCTCCCCTCATGGATTCCAAGGACCTGCGACATGTCGTGCCCAAATGGTCATGACGTGTCGTCACCTGTCGATGGCGAACACATGGTCGTGCCACAAATCCCGCCAACACCTTGCGAGTGGGTGCTTCATCCGCGTAGAAGTTGCTCAACTAGAAATTTCTGTCGTGGAACCGAGCTTCTGGGGAGGCACTTGGTAGTCCCACCATGAAAAATATCTGGATTTGTGCAGGAAGACTTCCCGCGCTCTTTCGCTTCAAAAGCCCCAAAAAGGGCCGGGCATCACAAACTTCCATTGATCATTGATGAACCCCTCCCATGGAAGAGCCAATGGGTGCAGGAAGAGCCAATGACGAAGAGGTTGCAGCATCTTCAAAAACCTCACAGCTCTTTGTGCTGGGCTCCTGGCTCTTCAACCTGGTGTGGCCGAAACTGAGCCGGATGTTCAATGAGACATTCAAGTACACAAAATAGCAGGCATTTAGGGTGTCATATAGAGCTATTATGAGCCATTAATTGATTTGAGGATATCCCCTCTGACGAACACATTACATGGAAGTGGAAAGCTACCTGTTTGTAGTGGATTTAATGGTCTTCCCTGGGGCCATTGTCCATTGGGACACTGTCCGTACACCGAGGCTGAAGATGGGCCAAACAGCTGAGTATCATGGTGAATCCAGCTGGCTCCAGAATCAAGTGCTCATAGGCTCATAGGTCAACCATCTCTGTTTATTCTCATGTCATAGTGTCATGTCCACAAGTGAACTCAAAAGTTTCAATGCAACAGTCCGTGCAAATCCAATGGGAACTAGCAGGAGTCAGGAGACCAGTTCTGCGACATGCCAAAAGCACCTCGGTTCTCCACATAGCAGCCCACCTGGGCTATGGTCACCTGGTGCTATCCTTCTCCCTTGGAGGCCTAGCCTCTGGAGATTCCAATTTCAGGTGGAGGCCATCGCTATTAGGGTGGAGCAATCAGCCATCACCATTAGGGTGGAGCCATCGCTATTGGGGTGGAGGCCATTGCTAGTAGCTTGGTCTCTGGAGATTCCATTTCAGGTGGCTGAGCTGGGAAATCCTCGTCTCCTTCGAACGACGTCCGTCTCCGCGACGTCTCCGCGCGGTCCGCGCGCGCCTCGAGATCCTCCAGGAAGTTCCGCCGCT